CGCACCTCGCTCTGCTAGCAGGTCAAACTTCAAGAGTTGTTTTCGCAATTTCGGTCATAAAAACAAAACAAGCTAACCTCCTGTCTGCGGCGCTCTCTGCGGTCAGCTAATATTTGGGCGAGGTTCAGCGGCGTGTCGGCGGAGGGGGCGGGACGTCTGGAGCCTGTAAGGTAAAAATATAATAAATGAACCAATTAATCGAATCATATCGTGGTTTATTCTTGAGTATGAAAATAATGGAATCGTTGGGTCAGGAGGTCGATACTGAATGGAATCGCCATGATGGCGGTGATTTACACCCCTGCTGCTGTGTGTGTGTGTGCGTCAGCGTGTGTCAGTCAGCGTCAGTGTGTGTGTGTGCGTGTGTCAGTGTGTGTGTGTGTGTGCGTGAGTCAGTCAGCGTGCGTGTGTGTGTGCGCGCGTCAGCTTGTGTGTGTGTGTGCGTCAGCGTGTGTCAGTCAGCGTGTGTGTGTCGCTCGGCGCTGAGTAGTTCTGCTGCGTTTCCAGAGCAACGGTTCGGTCAACGTTCACATCGACATGGACCAGCCGGTGCAGAGCGAGCCCAGGCTGAGGCTGGTGCTGGCGGAGAACCTGCTGAGGGACGTCCAGGATGTGATCAGCAGGATGGAGGTGAGCTGCTCCTCCATCAGTCAGCTTCACTTCAGCTCAGGTTTCTTTCCATCTGGAAGCCTTCCTCCTCCTCCTCCTCCTCCTGCTCCTCTTCCTCTTTCAGGGTCGATCCACGGACTCCTCCTCCCAAACAGAGACTCCTCCTCCTGCCGCCGCCGCTGCTCCCCCGCCGCCCTCCTCTTCATCCACCACCTCTACGCCCTCTCCCTCCGCCCAGCCCATGGACACCTCCCCTCCCCCCACCACGCCCCCACCGCCCTCCTCTGCACCGTCCGAGGGGCCGACCCCGCAGCCGGGGCCAAGGTGAGCCCGCAGGATGCTTCCTCTGCTCTTTTACTCCCTGGTTGCTTCCTGTGGCGTGTCATGACTCCTCCTTCTCCTCCTCCAGTCACCCCAGCCCTGCGGAGCTGGCGGAGATGCTGTCTGAGCTGCGGAGGGTGGAGGAGCGGCTGCAGCCGTTCATGCAGAGAGCCCACAGCATCCTGGAGACCGCCACCACCGCAGAATACAACAACAACACGGTAGGAGGCCCATTCCTGCAGGAGCCATGCTGGTTACCGTGGGAGACGCCCTCATTGTTTCTGATTTCTCCAGTTCGCAGTCAGACGGGTTTATGCTAACAGCTCTTAGCATCCTTTTAGCGCTAGCTCCCAGGCGGTCCACTTTACCCTGGGTAAGAGATAGCTGATGGTTCCTCAGAGGAAGCTGTTGGCTGCCCGTTAGCATCGACTGATTGGTGAGGGTGGCTAGCCACCAGCTGCTAGTCAGAGCAGCGGCTAGCCACCAGCTGCTATCAGAGCAGCGGCTAGCCACCAGCTGCTAATCAGAGCAGCGGCTAGCCACCAGCTGCTATCAGAGCAGCGGCTAGCCACCAGCTGCTAGCCAGAGCAGCGCTAAGTCTCCATGTTGGGCAGCGGCTCTGGGTTTTTGTTCTCCCATAATGCACCGGGACAGGAGTCGCCTTTCAGATGGCGCCACGTCTGAAGCTTGTTTCTTCCAGCAGGAGAGAGAGGACGACCAGAGAACTCTGGTCCAGATCTGCGAGTGTCTGCGTCTCCTTGGAAACGCCCTGGTTGCCCTTAGCGACCTGCGGCTGAACCTGATGAGTCCCGTCCCCCGCCACCTCCATGTTGTGCGTCCGTTCTCTCACTACTCCAGCCCGGTTGGCCTCCCTGGATCCATGCATCATCACATCCCAGTGCAGGTAGGCTCCGCCCACCTCCATCCCACTGGCAGCCCCTCCCCCACAGCCTGCTGATCTCTGCCGTTTTCCTCCACAGATGAACCTGGGTGCCACGGTGACCGTTGCCGCTAACAGCACTGAGGGGCAAGCTCCGCCCACCCAGCCAACCGGTCAGCCAGAACAGGCCAATCAGGGACAGAGCTCCCCCTCGCCGAGCACTCCGTCCAATCAGCAGGCTGGACAGGGACCGGGTGGCCCCCGGGTGATCCGGATCAGCCACCAGGCCGTCCCGGTGGTCATGATGCAGATGAACGCAGACGGTGGGTTTGACCCCCCCCCCCAGTAAAGGCTGGCTTATCCTCAGAAACCAGGTGGTCAGCGTGTTGCAGTCCCGCCCCCCTCTGCTGCACCTCTCCTAAATGAAGGTGTCGTAGCTGTCAGCAGACAGGAGGCCTCTGATTGGTCAATTCTCCATCCGCTCTGCTCTATGCGTATTTCCTGTTTGGTTCCTTACCGGTTTGTTTTGTTCGTATGACCGCCATGTTGAAAACAACTGAAGAAGGAGCAGGCGAGGCGCGCGAGAACGCTGGGAACATTTTCTACCTGGATCCCCGCTCTTATTGGCCCTCATGTCCCTCCGTTGTCCACAGCTACTTCCTGATTGGCCCTCTGGCGTGGCGTGGAATAACAGCGCAGACCGCGCTTCAATATGGGGCGAAAATCTAAAATATCTGCAACACGCTGCTGGGGGGGGATAAGCACACCTTTAGTGGGGAGGGGCGGGGTCTGGTGCTGTCAGTGGGGGCGGGGTCTGATGCTGTCAGTGGGGGCGGGGTCTAACCTGAACTTGCCCTCCCTCCCCAGGAGGAAGCAGCCCTGCAGCAGGAGGACAGCCGCTGGCCGGGCAGCCAGGTTCTTTATTCTCTTTCATTTGATTATTTTTATGACTTTTTTTAATAGTTTATATTTTTCTTCATTTCCTGTTTATTAAATCGCTTCTTTGTTGTTTTTCCTCCATTTTCTCTGATATTATTTATTAGTAAACTTTGTTTATTTCCAGTTTTTTTATTTGATCAGATTTATTTAGTTTTTAATGATTTTATTGATTTTAATTTTAAACGGCTGCTGGTTTTATCCTGCCGGCTTTGGCTCCGCCCCCCAGGTGCGCTCCCACCTGACTTCATGAGGAACGTCATGCAGCAGATCAGTCAGTATGCGGCGGCCGTTGCCACCAGCGCCGCCGCCGCCACCGCCCAGCCCTCCCCCCCCAGCTCCACCCCCTCCGCCCCTCCTGCCTCCTCCCAGTCTGGGTCCCAGCAGCCCCAGCAGGCGCGGGTGGTGTTCTCCCGGCCCCCCTTCGCCGCTGCCGCGCCCCCCCCGGTGTTCGGCGCCCGGGGGACCACCATCAACGTGAGGGCGGCGGTGCCGGGCCAGCAGCCCGGACAGGTGGGTCCGATCGCTGCCGATGGTTGTGAGCGTTGAAGTCGTGGTTGTGACCCGATGCTTTTGCAGGCCTTCAGCCCGGCGGCTCTGAACCAGATGATCAGCGGACTGGTGGGTCAGCTGCTGGTTCCGGGACAGATGGGTGAGGAGCTCCTCTTTCAACCGGATCAGAACCTTTTCCTGTTTGATTACTCAACTTCTCTCTGTTCTGTTTTTGCAGCGGGTCAAACCGTCACCACCTCCTCCTCCTCCTCCTCCTCCTCCACTTCCTTCTCCTTTTCCGGTTCGGGTCCAAATCCACCGCCTGCTGCGTCCAGCCAGAACCAGAGTGAGGCGGGCGCTGCTGAGCCCCAGCCGGACCTGGCCCCTGACCTCCGCCAGCTGCTGGGCTCCCTGCTGGGCGAGGCCGGGGGGCCCGCTGCTGGTTCCGGTCCGTCTGGAGCCCCTTCTATAACCGTCACCAGCTCAGGCGTCCCGGCCTTCATCCAGGGGGTGACGGACTTCATGCAGCAGGTCGGTGTCCCCCCACCCCCCCCTGCTCCATCAGAACCGGTTCTGACCCACTCTGTTTCTCTCCCAGGCCTCCCAGCCCATCTTCTCTCCTCCCCCCCAGGCCTCCGGACCCACTGCGGGGCCCGGCCCGGCGGGGGCAGCAGAGTCCCTGAACCCGGAGCTGTTCACCGGCATCCTGCGGGGGGTTCTGAACTCCATGATGGGCTCACTGGGTCAGAACCAGAACGACACCGAGAGCATCGCCCAGTTCATGCAGCGGCTGTCCCAGACCACCAACATCTTCTTCAGTCCAGAGGACCCCACAGGTGGGTTCCCCTCGGCGCCGAGCCCGATACACCTGGACCGGTTCTGACCCGGAATGGGTCAGACCCGGCCACCGTGTTCTGGTTCTGACCTGGCCGCCGGCAACTGGGTTCTGACCCGGGTTCTGTGGTTCTGACCCGGTTGCCATGGTTCTGACCCGGTTTCTGTGGTTCTGACCCGGTTGCCTTGGTTCTGACCCGGGTTCTGTGGTTCTGACCCGGTTGCCTTGGTTCTGACCCGGGTTCTGTGCTGTGGTCTCCAGGGTTCTTCGGGGAGCTGCTGATGTTGGTGTGCCAGACGTTCACCATGTCTGACCTGGTGATGCTGCTCCACGGTCAGCACCAGCCGCTCAGCCGCATCCAGCCTCAGCTGGCCCAGTTCTTCACCCAGAACTTCCTGAGCGGCAGGGAGCCCACGGATCAGAACATCGCTGTCGGTACCGCTCCTCACGATTCTGTTCTCTGGCCCGCGCCTCCTGCTTCACACTCCTCCTCCTCTTCTTCTGCAGGGAGCTGCTGATGGTCTGGTCACCGAGCTGCAGGAGTACATCAGCGAGAGCTTCGTGAGTCTGGGATGAAGATGAGGATGAAGATGAGGATGGGGATGAAGATGAGGATGGGGAAGGGGATGAAGATGAGGATGGGGACGGGGATGAAGATGAGAATGAGGATGGGGACGGGGATGAAGATGAGGATGGGGACGGGGATGAAGATGAGAATGAGGATGGGGACGGGGATGAAGATGAGGATGGGGACGTGGGACGAAGATGAGGATCGCAGTGGGGGACGGGCATGAAGATGAGGATGGGGACGGGGATGAAGATGAGGATGGGGACGGGGATGAAGATGAGAATGAGAATGGGGACGGGGATGAAGATGAGGATGGGGACGTGG